GCGGGGGGGTGGGGTTTGAGGTCCTAAATAGTACAAAAAGCCAAGGAAAGAAATTCGCCCTCTTTTTCCTGCCTTTCTGCTGGAGGGGACATTTCAGCTCTTCTGCTCTCAGATGGGGCTCTACACTGCCAGTTTCCTTAGTAATGCAACTTGAGGTTGAATTACACCCCAGCTTCTCCAGGTCTCCAGCCTGCAGGTGAGAGGCTTCTCTGTCTCCACCATCAGTTTCGTTTCTTTTTTTTAAACATGTTCCAGGACTCGAACCGCAGTTGGCCATGTGGGATCCAGACGCCTTAACCTTCACGCCACCGGCAGGCGCACCACCATCAGTTTCTCATCATCAGCTTCCTCTTATATATCCTTGGTGCTGTCTCTTACATTGGTTCTGTCTCTCTGAAAACCTCATAATATGTTAGAACTGCACTTTGTGCATGTTTATCTTTTTGTTGTGTTGTGTTGTTTTGCTATAGGGCACATCAGTTTGCCAGAAAGAGAGAGAGAGAGAGGGAAAGTGAAAAAGCACCCCCTGGGGTGATGGGGACACAGCAGTCCCTTCCCCTCCATTCTCCTCTTGAGATTTCAGGCACACACACATGAACTCAGGGTCTGGGACTCAGACACCATGATAAGCCATGTGGGATCCAGCCACCTTAACCACCAACCAAGCCACCTCCGGCCCCAGCAAGCTTTTATTTATTTATTTATTTATTTATTTATTTATTTATTTATTTAGTCATAGGGCACAGGCACATGGCCTACACAGTGAGAAAGTGAGAATTCATCCCCCAAGGAGGGTGGCTGCACTGCAATTCTTTCTCTTCCATTTCCTTCCTGGGATTTTGGGCACACATACCTGGCATAATTTTCAAGCCACCAGGTCTAGCACCTTAACCACCATGTCACCTGCTGGCCCCTCTAGCAAACTTACATTTAATAATTTATTACTGGGACCAGCAGTTGGCATAATGGCTATGTCACTAGACTCCCATGTAGTCAACTGCGGTTCGCATCCCGGACCTGGTGGCTTAAAAACTCATGCCGGGCGCTTGTGCATGCGTGCCCAAGATCCCAAGAGGAGAATGGAGGAGAAGGGATTGCGGTGTGGTCATCGCAATCACCCCAGGGGGGTGATTTCTCACTTTCTGTCTCTCTGTCTCTGTCTGGCGAGCGCACGGGCCCTATGGCAAAAACCTCTCCCCCCCAAAAAAAAAGGCAAAAAGAAAATTTAGTACTGAAATCATGCCTTGTTGGATTCTGCCCCCCATCCTGGCTCGTCATTGTTCCTGGGGGCTTCAGTTCTGCGGTTTAGCAATGTGACCCTCCCCTACACTCTTATGGTACCTGCTACTTTGACAGGTCTGTCCCTGTCCCCATTGCTATTGCTGATTCCCATGTAGAAATGCTGACCATGGCACATGGCAGAATGAGACCTGCCTCCAGACTGAGAGGGTCAGATGTCCTCCCCTTGGGGGTGGCTGTCCACACCACATGGGCCTGTGTCTCTCAGACCCTCAGAGCTCTTCCACCACTTCCTTGACCAACATAAAGTAAGGGAGGTTGGTCTGGGAGACACTTCCGGTTGTCCATTGCAGCAGACAGGACTCAGGTCACACTCAGGGTCTTCTCCACCCCTTTCCTACCAGAGCCCTGATTTTTATCAAGGGGGTACTGCGTGTAGCTAAAATACTCTCAATTTCCCAGCTTCCTTTGCAGCAAAGGACGGTCATGTGACATAAGGGTAGCCGGTGTCCAGACATCCCCCTGGGGTAGATGTATGAGCCTTCTGGAAATTGAACAGGCAAAAATCTTTCTGGAAACAGCATTCAGCTCTTTCCCCCTCTTTCTGCCTGGAACCCCTGTACTTTCGCATTTCATCCTGGTGCTTAATAGATGGGGCAGGCCTTCTCTTCATTTCACAGAAAAGGAAACGGAGGTTCAGAGAAGTGAACTGACTTTTCTCAAGTTGCAGGGCTTAGAGCTCCTCCATAAATACCAAAGTAGCCAACTCACTCCATTGAGATCAGTTTGCCCTGTCTCCCTTATTGGCTGGGCTGCCAGGAAGCTCAGACCCTAATGTGAAGCTCACCTTTGGTTTGTTGCATCTTCCTTTCCCTTGTCCCATTGCCTATTAAAGGACTTAAAAGCAATCTTTTTTTTTAGAGGTCTTTGCCTTAGGGAACATGTGCTTGGGGGCAGGGGTGGGGAGAAATAAAGAGATAGAGACAGTGAGAGGGGAAATGAGAAATCACCTCCCAGGGGGGAAGGCCACACCACAATCTCTTCTCCATTCTCCTGGGATCTTGGGCACACACACACACACATGCACCCAGCATGAGTTTTAAGTCACCGGGTCCAGGACTCAAACTGCAGTTGGCCATGTGGGAGTCCAGTGATGTAACCGCTTAGCTATCTGCTGGCCCTGAGAGCAACCCTTTCTTGTAACCCACCCAAATCCTCTTTTGAAAAGAAGTTGGGGAGGGAACCAGCAGTTAGCATAATGGCTATGTTGCTGGACTCCCACGTAGTCGACCGCGCGCAAACCCGGTGGCTTAAAACTCACACCGAGCGCGTGTGCGTATGTGCCCAAGATCCCGAGAGGAGAATGGAGGAGAAGGGATTACGGTGTGACCATCCCCCCTGGGGGGTGATTTCTCCCTTTCTGTCTCTCTGTCTCTCTCTGTCTATTTGCGAGTGCACGCACCCTATAGTGAAAACCTCTCAAAAAAAAAAAGAAAGAAAAGAGAAGAAGTTGGGGCAGGGGGCGCAGGCTGGTTAGCATGTGGAGTATCTTGGCTGGCCTCTGCAGATGTCTCCAGTCTGTTCTGGGCAGTGGAGCTGACAGAATGGACGATATGAATGGGCTCTCTGGCTTCTCATGGGTTTGAGCAACAGGGAACTCCCCGGTGAGGTCACTGGTTCCCATCAGGAAGCCACACCACCCACCACAGGCCTGATTCTCCTAGGCACTGCCTCCCTTTCCGCCTCAGGCTGGAGGCGGTGAGGCCACTAGAGCTGGTCCAGGCCCCGTCTTCTCCCTCACTACCTCCCGCTCACACTTAGCCAATCCTCAAATTACCCAATTCGAGTTTTCTACCAGGGCCCTGGACAGAATACAGAACAAAGGGCATTGTTAAAGGATCTCCTCCGGTATCTCCAAGTTGTCCCTGTCCCCTCCCAGGACTTCGCTCAGCATCTCACCACCTCTAGTCTGGGTCTTACAGCCATGTCCCAACTGGGCTCTCTGCCTCTGTCACAGCCATGGAGCCCCTGTGAAGAAGCTATGGCCTCCCTCTATTGCCCAGGGCCCAGACGCTAGACCCCAAGCTCCAGGCCCTGCAAGCAGACACACAGGTGCCTCCTGTTCTTACGTGGCCAGGTGCGTGTAACCAGCCCACCCCTCAAAGGAGAACTTGGGCTTGCGGGTGAGGAACTGTCACGTAAACGGACAGACCAGCGGGATGGGTGGCATGACTGTCAGGCACAGGGCATCATGGAGTGCAGAAGGGGTCCCAGCTGGGCCTGGCTAGGAGGGGTGGAGGTCACAGGGGAAGCACTTCTCCAGCTGGGTCTGAGCTGGGCACAAGATATGGATGAGTGAAGGCATTCCAGGCAGGTGACCAGCCCGAGCAAAGATCAGGAGGCAAGTGATCGCACAGCGTGGGGGATGCTCATGTCACCAGAGTTACTGAGGACAGAATGAATGGGGCCAGGGAAGGGGTAGAGGGGGTGAGCAGGGACTGGCTGGGCCCACTGCAGACAAATGAGGGGTCTGGACCCCAAGTCTCAGGCCAAGGGGAGCAGTAAACCAGGAGACGCCCACCAAATGCAACGCTGAAGCCAGGGAGCAGAACAGGGCTGCAGGCTGAGGCCAGCAAGGAGCCTGCCTACTGAAGAGAGTTGGCCTGGTGTCCCCAAAGGGGGCACTTGCCCCAGTCACCTGGTCAACCTCTCCTGGCCCCCCTCAAGTTCAAGTCCGAGCTGATGAGTGTGAACCAGATTAAATGGACCCTGCTCCTCAAACACCCCTTTGCCCCCAGCTCCTCTCTCCTTCAAGAGGGCCATAAGACCATGCAGGATCCAGCCAGGAAGGCCCCGGCTGCCAAGAGAGCCCCCTCGCCTCCCCATCCCACTCCCTAGACAGCCTCCAGGGGATCTGTGTGTCATTTTTATTCTCATTGCTTTGGTCTATACAAAAAACCAATAACCAAAAACGTAAAGCGATAATAATAAAACTCTCCGCCAGGGCCTTGCCCAGCCCCCACACCAAGTGCAGGAGGTGGGGGGACCTGAAACAGGAAGAAGAGAAAGCCCCTCACCGCACACCAGAGGGGTCAGCCAAGAGCACTTCTCGGGGTGGGGGCAGCTAGGGTGGCTGCGTGGTAGGACGGGGTGTGAGGGAGGGGTTGAAGCCTATTTGGCGTCCCGGAGAGAGGGCGGGCAGTCTCCTGGAGTGGGGGACTCACCCTCCACGTCTACGCCCCAGTTCCCCTGGACAGTCCCTGAACTTGAAGAGAAGCTTTGGATTTCAGGGGGTGGGACCCTGAACTTGGGTCCTGGAGACCCCAGGGCAGTTGGTCAGTAAAGCTCAGTGAGGAAATCTGACCCAGGAGGAACCCAGGCCCTGCAGAGCCCAGACAGCTGGAGGGAGGCAGGCAGGCCGGGCTGGGCGGGCAGAAAAGCAGTGGGCGGCTGTGTCTCAAGATTTAGTGGCCAGGAGGGGGCGGAAAACTCGGGAGCAGAACACCATTCCAGGAGAGACCTGCGGGGGACCTCTGGAGGCGGGGCATGGCAGGATGTCACGGCTGGCTGCCCCGCTCAGGCACTTTCTGTCTCGCCCCATCGCCTTCACGGAGTCTCTCAGGTGAGGATGCACACCTGGGATGGGGCAGACACGGGGGTCAAGGGGTGGGGGCCCTCCAGCTCAGGCGCCCTGGTCAGCCACCCACCACCACCCCCAGAATGGCTGGGGGCCAGGACGCCCCACCCTCGGGAGGGGAAGACTGAGGCAGGCTGGGTACACCCTGCTAGGGAGCTAGGTAGCCAAGGGCCCCCATACTTGTCCCCCAACCCGAGGAGCTAGGGTTTCAGCAGAGAAATGGGAGGGCCTCCACTAGGGGGAGCTCTGGAGACAGAAAATGGGTCCTCAGCCACCCGCAGACAGGAGAGGGCGGCGAGGCAGGGAGGTGCATACTGGGGTGGCCGCTAGGCAAGCATGTGGTCCGCAGTGGGGTAGGGGGGCCGGAGGCCATCGCTGTAGGTGTCGATGGGGTAGTCCCCGTCCATGTCCATGTGCATATCCAGGGGGTCCAGGGGTGCGTCGCTTGAGTACATGGGGCGGTAGGTGGCATCCATGTCTAGGAGACAACAGGGAGCTCTGTCCAGGGGTCTGCAGGCCACCCCAGGGGATGGTCTGGACAGCCCTCAGCACCTCTGCTCCCCATTCCCACCATTCCCCATGGGCCTGACCCTCCAGATTCCCATACTGGAGAATCCAGACTGGAGCACACTGGCTCCCACAGTGTTTGTCACTGGCCCTTCGGCCCTGGAGACACAATGCCTCTTCCACCCTCATGCCCCCGGGGCCCTCCCAGATCCTGAGGAACCCTGCACCCACTTACCATCTGCATAGGGTTCGTTGATGGGAATCATGCTCTGGGCCTGAGGAAGGAGAGCAACATTGGTAGGGGGTCGGGAATTCAGGCTGTGGGCTAGATCTCAGAGGGACCAGGAGAGGTGCTTCTATAACGGGGGACTGGAGGGAACCAAAGCACCCTCAGAGGAACAGAAGATATGAAACGGGGCTACCCAGTGCCCTGGTGGTGATGAACTTATGTCCTCAGGTTCCTGCCAGCTTAGAGGGTCGTCTCACCCAAGTCCCTCAAGGCTCGGGGGCTCCCCTAGAACTAGAGGAGGGGGGTGGAGGGAAGAGGACTGAAGAACAGGTGCAAGGCACTGCCCCACCAGGACCAGGGCTGCCTCTAGCCTTCCCAGCGCCATTGTGCAAACTGGAGAAAGGCCAAACACTTCGTATTCCTTTGGGGAAAATTAAATTGCCATTTTTGTAGGTAAAAACAGATATATGATTCAATCCATTCCCGTCTGCAGGGAATAGTCACAAATGGTCCGATCATAAAATAAAAATCTACGATGTCAACAGAACGGTAGCCCGCCCCCACAAAAGTGTCCTTGCCCGGTGTGCGACTCGCACAGTCATGTGCCGCAGCCCAGTCCAGATACTCACGGCCTCCCAGGCAGCCGGGTCATGCTTGAAGAGGGAGTTGGTGAGCTCCACGGACACACGCTTACGGTAATCTGGGTTCTTGTCCTCAGAGATGCGGAACAGGACAGCTGCAGCGTAGGTGGCTGAGCAGAGAGGAGAGGAAAGGCCAAGTCAGACGCCAGCCTCCACCACGGCTGAGGGGACGAGGCCCGCCACTGCCCTTGGCCCGGCCCTCACCAGTGCCCTCGTTGCGGGAGTGCAGCAGCTCCATGAGCGGCGCCGAGGCCCCCTCGGCATCGATGGCATCGGCCGCCTCCTTGTCCTGGGCCAGCTCACACAGCACCCCGGCAGCCACACGCTGGATGTTCTCCACCGACGAGTACAGGAGCTGTGGAGAGGGGGCAGGGCAGGGAGGAGGGGCGAGGCAGGTCAGGTGGCACATCTCACAGCCCTGCCCCTCCCTGCCTCCCTTCTCTGCATGTAACACAAACTCAGACCAGAAAATGTAGAAAGTGCAGGAAAAGTAAGAAGAAATGGAAAAAACAACAAAAAAAGACCCCACTCAGACTCAGCCTCTGTTAACCATTGGCATATTCCCACTGTTTTTTGTTTCTTGTTTGTTTTCTTACAATTATTTTCTTTAACTTTATTTATTTATTTATTTACCTATTTTAGTTTGACCAGAGAAGGACAGAGGCAGAGGCAGAGGCAGAGGAAGAGGAAGAGGAAGAGGAAGAGGAAGAGGAAGAGAAAGGGAAAGGGAAAGGGAAAGGGAAAGCAAGCTGCCAGGTCCGGGACTCAAACCACGGTTGGCCATGCGGGAGTCCAGCGCCCTCAACCACCACACCACATGCCAGCCCCTTAAGTTTGTTTGTTTGTTTGCTATAGGGCATAAGCACATGCAAGAGTGGGAAAGCAAGAAAGTAAGAAATCACCCTCCAAGGAGATGGCCACTACAATCCCTTCTCCATTTCCCTCTTGGGCTTTTGGGCAAACCCATCACACATGCGCCCAGCATGATTTTCAAACAGCCAGATCTGGGACTCAAACTGTGCAGTTAACCATGTAGGATCCAGCCACCTTCACCACCACGCCACCTGCTGGCCCCCCACTGTATTTTTAGTGTAGCCCAATTGTCATATATATAAACATTATATATGCTTTTTCTTCACCTGACATAGTAGCATAAAACATTTTCCTATACTGTATTTTTTTTTTTGAGAGGTTTTCGCTATAGGGCACGTGCGCTCGCCAGACAGACAGAGAGAGACATAGAGACAGAAAGCGAGAAATCACCCCCTAGGGGGGATGGTCACACCACAATCCCTTCTCCTCCATTCTCCTCTCGGGATCTTGGGCACGCACGCACACGCGCCCGGTGTGAGTTTTAAGCCACCAGGTCCAGGACGCGAACCGCAGTCGACTATATGGGAGTCCAGCGACATAGCCATTATGCTAACTGCTGGTTCCCCTATACTGTATTATTCTTTTATTTATTCATGATAGAACGTGTGTGAACATGTGAGAGACAGGGGTGGAGGGGTTGAGAGGCGTACCCTCCACACGACCTAGCCACACCATGGTCACCTCCTCCAGTCCTCCGGCCCATCAGATCCTGGGCGCTCACACACACGCTCAGCATTTCCAGCTGACTGGGCTGGGTATTCAAACGTGGTCACCATGTGGAATCCACATGGGACTTCTCATGAGCAGCGTGTCACTGCTGTACCACAGAGCCAATCCAATACTGTATATCTAATGTTTCACTTTTTCCTAAAAGTTTGTGCAGATACTCAAGAGAGAAAAAGAATGCTAGGAAGCAGAACAATAAAACGAGGGCTACCCAGTAGTGCAGCTGTTAAGCACTGGAACCAGATCCACATGACCAACTGAGGTTCAAATCCCAGCCCTGGCAGCTTGAAAAAAACATGCCAGCACAGGTGCATATGTGTTCAAAATCCTAACGGGATGGAGAAATGGAGGAGAAGGATTGCAGTATGACCATGCACTGATGTGGGGAGTGCTTGTTTTCTGTCTGTCAGTCTCTTTTTAGCAAGTACAAACGCCCTCTGGCAATTAAAAAAAAAAAAAAAAACATGGCTATGGGGCCAGCAGATGGTGTGGTGGTTAAGGCACTAATCTCCCACATGGCTGACCATGGTTTGAGTCCTGGACGTAAGTGCTTGCAAAATCACACCATGCACATGTGAGTATATGCCCACAATCCCAAGAGTAGAATGGAGAAGGAACTGTGGTGTGGCCATCCTCCCCCCGGAAGTGATTTCTCACTTTCCCTCTCACTGTCTCTCTCTGGAAAGTGCATGTGCCCTAAACCTAAAAAAAAAAAAAAAAACAAGACACAGGGCTAGATGGTGGCAGGGTGGTTGAGGTAGCTGGCTCCCATATGGCCAGCTGCACAGTTCAAGTCCCCAGACAAGGAGGCTTGACACACTCCAGGTGTATGTACTTGTGTCCCCAAAATCCCAAAAGGAAGGAAAAATGGAGAAGGGATTGTGGCATAACCATCCCCCATGGGGGTGCTTTCTCTCTTTCCTTCTCTCTCTTTCATTGTCTCTTTCCAGAGAATGCATGTGCCCTTCAGACCAAAAAATAGAAAAGAAAGAAAACATTCAATTGGTCACCATTTGAGGTAGTATAGCATTATTCCTTTATTTTGAGTATTAATAATTAAAGGAAAAATGTTGAAAAACAAAATATTTTCTTAAGTATCCTTATATTTCCTTATACTGGACAAGCAGTTTGTTTTCAATTTTTATGAGTAACATTGCAATTGTTACCTCTTGCATAGGTCTTTGCCCATACCTTATTATTTTTTAATATTTATTTATTTGGGGCCGGCAGGTGGTGTGGTGGACTCCCACATGGTCGACCACGGTTCAAGTCTTGGACCTGGCGGCTTGCACTCTCTCTCTCTTTCTCTATGTCTGTCTTCCTCTCTCTCCTTCTCTCATCAAATTAGAAAATAAATATTTTTTTATATTTATTTATTTTTTTTTAGTATTTATTTCATTTCACTTGTTATTATTTTTTAATTTGACCAAAGAGAGACAGAGAGAGAGAAAGTGAGAACACCAGCCGCCGAGTCCAGGATTCGAACCATGGTTGACCATGTAAGAGTCCAGTGCCCATAACCACCACGCCACCTGCAGGGCCCCACTTATACTTTAAATTATGTTAAATTGTTTCATAGAAAGAGTCCCAGACTTGAATTAACTTGGCTGAAGGATATGAAGATTTTCAAGGCTCTCTATACATATTGCAGAATTGCCTTCCAGACTCCTCTTCCAACCAGGTGGGTATGAGACTGCCTATTTCATTGCCTCTTCTCCAGCACAATTTCTCCTTTGCCAATCCAATAGCAGGAAAAGGGTTTCACTGCAGGGGTGTCATTTCTTTGAACTCCTGGGGCTGAATATTGTGCATGTAAGAGCCACTTGGGCATTACTTTCTCTAACTACAGGGATCTAGTGTTAATGAGCTGTTCTGTGCAAAAGATATTAAACTTGTCCGTTGTGGTATTTGCATGTATTTTTCTCATTTGCAGTTTACTTTTTTTTTTTTGGAGAGGTTTTTTTTTTTTTTTTTTTGCTATAGGGTGCGTGTACTCGCCAGACAGACAGAGACAGAGAGACATAAAGCAAGAAATCACCCCCCTGGGGGGATGGCCACGCCACAATCCCTTCTCCTCCATTCTCCTCTCGGGATCTTGGGCACGCATGCACATGCGTCCAGCGTGAGTTTAAGCCATCAGGTCCAGGACACGAACCGCGGTCGACTACATGGGAGTCCAGCAACATAGCCATTACACTAACTGCTGGTCCTCTCGTTTGCAGTTTACTTTCTAGGTTGTTTCTGACACATGGATGGTTTTAATGTTAATGTGGTTGAATTTCAAGATATGTTTTTCCATGTATGATCTCTTCCTTTGCTTTTTTTTTTTTTTTTTTTTTTAATAGGGGTGGGACCCCAACCAAAACGGGAAAGAGAGAGAGACAGACACAGAAAGTGAGAAATCACCCCCCAGGGGGGATGGCCACACCGCAATCCCTTCTCCTCCATTCTCCTCTCAAGATCTTAGGCACACACGCACACATACCCGGCATGCGTTTTAAGCCACCAGGTCCGGGATGCAAACCACGGTTGACTAAATGGGAGTCCATAGCCATTATGCTAACTGCTGGTCCTGTCTTCCTTTGCTTTTGAGCTTTGAAAGCCATTCTCGTCCAAGGATTTGCCAAGTGACCATTTCCATAATGGCCACTTGCTTCCAAATTCCTCCAAAGACCTCTTGATGCGTGATCCAGACATCCAAAGCCCGTGGCTCCCCACCACTTCCCCTCAACAGTAGGCTAAGCAGTGGCAGGAGTGGGGCAATAGGACCTCTCTTGCCCACCCACCTCAGACTCACCTGCACAAACAGGGGGATGGTGTTGAGTCGGAAGATCTCCATGCGGTTCATGGGATCCCGGGCCAGGATATGCAGCGCTCCTGTGCAGCCTTCCACAATCTCCTCCATCCTCACGCCATCCTGCACGAGAGGAGGATGGGCATGAGGACAGATGCCCTTGGGCATGGCCACAATCCTCACCCACATGACCTACTGAAAAGCTTCACCAGTCCTCAAATGTAATTCATCTCCCCAGCTCCATGCACATACACACACCTGAACACATATATGCAGACAACACCCTGACCCCCAGGGAGGGCTGGCAGAGGCACCACCAGCAAGATTACCGTGTAGGGCTGCTGAGTGCCTGCAGCCAGTCCTCAACTGTAATTCATCTCCCCAGCTCCATGCACAGCACATACATACACCTGAACACATATATGCAGACAACACCCTGACCCCCAGGGAGGGCTGGCAGAGGCACCACCAGCAAGATTACCGTGTAGGGCTGCTGAGTGCCTGCAGCCACATGGCGCTGGGCATCCTGGTGGGCCTTGACCAGTAGCTGGACAAGGCGGGGAATGACTGAGGCCTCCTGCAGTGGGGCATGGTTGGCTGGGCACAGAGCCAGATTCCTGATCAGACCGATGGTTGCCTGGCAAGAAAAGGGGAGGCGATCAGGGGCATTTCTTGGGTACCTGGAGGATCCTGGTTCCCTAGTTTCAGGTATTCCTCCCTCTCCATCATCCCCAGGCTGGGCACAGACACAGTGGAAGATTCCAGGAAATGTGACCACCCCTGGCCCATGTCTACCTCTAGTGGCCCCTGCCACCCAAGTCCAGAACATTCCACCAATCTCATTACAACATCCCCATGCCCCAACCCTCACTCCTGACCCCTCTTAATCTACCCAGACACCATGGTTTTGCTTGTTTTTCTGACAGTCCCCAAGCCCTGATTACCAGGATGTCCTTGCTATGGCAGACCCCAAGCCTCCTGCTGGTGATGACTATATTATAATCACCCCAGCAGGGCAGCAGGTCCCCAGTACACAGGAGCCACTTTAGCCTCTCAGAGTCCCGCAGGATCTTGCAAAGCAATGATCACCTCCTTGACCATCAAAGCAAGAAGCCAGGAGGGCAGGGGTGAAACTCATACGACAGATGAGGATGCGAGCACAGGGCGATGACTTGCCAAGGTTACTTGTCACTTGTCATTTAGCTGCTGGGTCAGGATACAAAAGCTCCCCCCCCAAGGTCACCCACTGCCATTTTTTTTCCCCTCACTATTGGGCTTTTAAAAAATATATATATTTATTTGTTTCAAAAGGAAAAGAGAGAGAGAGAAAGAGATGCAATGACATAATCTCCCCCAGCAAATCAACAGCTAGAACCATGGGTTCCCACCAAGTTCAGGTGAACTGGGATCTGGATCCTGGTGTTCCACACGCTCCAGCATCACACAGTAACACCCCTCTATCAGCACCATCGCGGCTAGGCCTCACTATAAATTTCTTTTCTCTTTTTAGTTGCCAGAGGGTACATGTACTCCCCAAAGACACAGAGAATGGGAGAAAGTACCTCTCACTATGGTGTGCTCACACCGTAATCCCTTCTCCATTCTGTCAGGGCTTGGGGCACATATGTATACATGCTGGTATGTTTTTCACATCACCGGGACCGGGATTCAAACCATGTTCAGCATGCGTGATATGGCTCCCTTAATCACTAGGCTACAGGGGGTCAGCAGCTCTGGATTTCTTTTTTAATTCAATGTGTGTAATCACTGGAGTCAGCTGGTGACATGGTGGTTAAGGAAGCTGGATCCCTCCTAGCCAACTGCATAGTTCGAGTCCCAGACCTAGTAACTTGAAAACAGGCCGAGTGCATGTGCATGCGTGCCCAAAATCCCGAGAGGAGAATGGAGAAGAGATTGTGGTGTGGCCTTCTTCCTGGAGGATAGTTTCTCACTTTCTCTCTCTCTCTCTGGCAAGTTCTCTAGCAAATTAAAAAGAAAAAGAAAGAAAGAAAGAAATGTATATAGTCACTCAGAGTCATTCTTTTTGTTTGTTTTTTAAATCTTTTGCCAGAGGTCACATGTGTTGGCTGGAGAGACAGAGGGCAGGAGAGTGAGCTGGCCCGCTGGGAGTCATCCTTCCCCACAGTTACACTGTCTGAAATCTACCTAGTGAAATCCTTGCCCGCTGTCTCCTGGGTCCACTGACAAGAATCCAGTCTATGGTCGCTTCCTGGCTATGTCTTCCAGTCTGTCTCCCTGGCTGCAGACATCACCCTGCCTGAAGCTCCTT